CTGCATGTCACTGCATAACAAACTGAAAGGATATAACTAGAGAAATCTCCACTGTGCTACTGAGTGAGAGCGTATGGCAAGCTGTTTTAGCATTTAAACCTTGTTCTGACTATCCATAAATATATTTAGAGATATCTATAATTATATTTTGACTAGTCATAATTATAATTCGACTAGTCAGATTGGAAATATCTGCAAATATATTATTACTGACTAGTCATATTCCTCCATTGACTTCCATTAAAAAATATTTGCAGATATCTCTAAATAAGTTTTGACTAGTCACAATTGTAATTAGAGATATCTCCAAATGAATTTTGACTAGTCAAAAATCCAATTCAAGATATCTACAACTGTAATTCGACTATTAGTAAATTAATTAGAGATATCTTCAAATATATTTGTAAATATCTCTGAATATATCGAATTAAGGATATCTCCAAATGTATTATGACTAGTAAAAACTCTAGTTAGAGATATCTCTAATTACAATTGTGACTAATCAAAACTCATTTAGAGATATCTGCAAATATTTTTCAATGGAAGTCAATGGAGGAATATGACTAGTCATAATATATTTGCAGATATCTCCAATCTGATTTCATACTAGTACAATTGTAATTGCAGATATCTCTAATTGTCATTCTGAGTAGTGGAATTATAATTATGACTAGTCAAAATATAATTAGAGATATCTCTAAATATATTTATGGAGTCAGAACAAAGATTTAAATGCTAAAAAGGCTTGCCATAGAGAGCGCTTCTCACTGAACAGAGCAGCAGCGATGACATAAGCGCGCCGAGGCCCGATATGGTGTGAGCGCGGGCCGTCGGGGGAGATGGCAGGGGGGACAAGCGTGCTTTGGCCCGGTTCGAGGCAACTGTACCTAGTGTGAGTATACGGCCTTAATCTCCTCTCTCGGCTGCGTCAGACAACAGACAGACTTAAAGGAAGAAGGTCTCGCGTAGCGTTTGTGAGAAATACTACAGTAAGAGCTTTACTAATCAGTATTTGTTGTGAAGTTGCATTGATGAGTCACATGCAATATCGTTATAACGTTCACGCACACACACACACACACACACACACACACGCTTAGCTTTGCACTGTTTTTGCACTCAAATGTGACAGGATACAGGCTAACCTCCACTGCTGTGTGGATATCTTATGTTATTGTACAAAATAAACCTGATTTAACGTCCACAAACAGGGATTGAAGCTTCTTCTTTTATACAGTAATTGTTCTGACACGCGGCTGTGCTGATGAAGTAAAGCTGAAGTAAATCGCTGCACTTCATTACACACGAGCACTGTTTTAAAACACTTTAAACATGTGAAACTTACTCTTAATCACATTTGATGATGATTGCTGATCCTAGCGAACAGAACAGACCTTTTATTCCCGGTTGCTTTGCGCATGTCTGGTCTTGTTGACATATACACAATGCGCACAGCTGTCAATCAATTCGGTAGGCGGGGGGACCGCACTCCTACGTAAAGTTGCGGTCGGTCTGAAAACCGCTCCAATTGGTCCACCGTTTTTATGTTGTGTTTATATCACCCCAATATGATGGTCTATACACTATATATACACGTTTGTCCAAATAGCTTGAAAAGTAGATTTTTCACTGTAGGTGCCCTTTAAAAATCATTCATTCATTTTCTCTTCGGCTCAGTCCCTTTATTAATCAGGGGTCGCCACAGTGGAATGAACCGCCAACTTATCCAGCATATGTTTTACACAGCGGATGTCCTTCCAGCTGCAACCTATCACTGGAAAACACCCATACACTCTCATTCACACACTTACACTATGGACAATTTTAGCTTACCCAATTCACCTGTACTGCATGTCTTTGGGCAAAATGTGTTGACATGAAATACATCACATAAAATGATGCTCCAACAATACCTGTAGGACACTAAGTATATCCGTGCACTCATTTGATGGATATTTATTTATTATTGGTGCCGTTTCATTAAGAGACGATGATCGAAAAAGCCTAAAGCGACTCTAAAAACATTGTAGGACACTGTAAATATATGGATGCACTCATTTGATGGATATAAATATTTATAATTGTTGCAGTTTCGTCAAGAGAGTATACATGAAAAAGCCTAGAGCGACCTGAAGATGAAAGAGAACAAATCTCACGACTGTCAAAGATTTTAAGTCCTCCATTTTTTTTCATCCATCTATTAAAGCCACAAATCAACAGCAAAAAATGCAGTTAGCCTTAATGAAACGCACACTTCAGGCACTTTTAAAGCACCACAGGAACATATTTTTAAGACAGTCATCAAAATACACCTTTGTTTGTTGTGAAAACACTCCCTCTAGTGTAGAGAATGCATAATGCGCCTTTAAAACAACGATCAAACTAGTAATTTTTGAGGTGACTCAAAAGAGAGCAATAAACTCAAAATTTGTTGACATGAAAGGGAGACACAGACATGAAATAATGCTACAATTATATCCGTAGGACACTATCAATATATATTCATGCACTTATTTAATGGATATATATTTATAATTGGTGCCATTTCATCAAGAGAGTGTAATCGAATAAGCCTAAAGCTACTCTAAAGATGAAAGAGAACAAATCTCATGACTGTCAAATATTTTAACCAGGCATTCATCTTTTTTTTTTTTAGCCTTATTCAAACACACACTTCAGGCACTTTCAAAGCAAACCCACACCGTTTTAAACACCACAGGAAAATATTTGTAAGACAGTCATCAGAATACACCTTTGTTTGTTGTGAAAACACTCCCTTTAGTGGAGAGAATGGCGTACTGTGACTTTAAAACAATGATCAAATTAATTATTTTTGAAGTGACTCAAAAAAAAGCAATAAACTCAAGACCGAGGGGCTTTTAGCATCTTATTTTGATCAGACTGTCACCATCCGTGAAGGAACTGAAAAAAAAATCCCATTTTAATGTGAAAGATCAGGTTTATTTAGTACAAAAGTGTTTCAGCATGACAGCAGGAGAGGGAGACACACACATGTAATGATGCTAAAATAATACCTGTAGGACACTATAAATATATCCATGCACTTATTTAATGGATATATATATATATATATATATATATATATATATATATATATATATATATATATATATATATATATATATATATAATTGGTGCCGTTTCATCGAGACAGTGTAATCGAATAAGTCTAAAGCGATTCTAAAGATGAAAGAGAAAAAAATCTCATGACTGTCAAATATTTTAACAAGGCATTCATCTTTTTTATGTTAGCCTTATTCAAACACACACTTCAGGCACTTTCAAAGCAAACCCGCACCGTTTTAAACACCACAGGAAAATATTTGTGAGACAGTCATCAAAATACACCTTTGTTTGTTGTGAAAACACTCCCTCTAGTGGAGAGAATGGTGTACTGTGACTTTAAAACAAGGATCAAATTAGTTTTTTTTTTTTAAGTGACTCAAAAAAAAGCAATAAACTCAAGACCGAGGGGCTTTTAGCATCTTATTTTGATCAGACTGTCGCCTTCTGTGGAAGAACTGAAAAAAAACATCCCATTTTACTTTGAAAAATCAGGTTTATTTAGTACAAAAGTGTTTGAGCATGACAGACAAGAGAGGGAGACACACACATGAAAAGATGCTCCAATAATACCTGTAGGAGACTATAAATATATCCATGCACATATTTAATGGAGATATATTTATAATTGGTGCCGTTTCATCAAGACAGTGTAATCGAATAAGCCTAAAGCTACTCTAAAGATGAAAGAGAACAAAACTCATGACTGTCAAATATTTTAACAAGGCATTCATCTTTTTTTGTTAGCCTTATTCAAACACACACTTAAGGCACTTTCAAAGCAAACCCGCACCAATTTAAACACCAAAGGAAAATATTTGTAAGACAGTCATCAGAATACACCTTTGTTTATTGTGAATACACTCCCTCTAGTGGAGAGAATGGTGTACTGTGACTTTAAAACAAGGATCAAATTAGTTTTTTTTTTAAGTGACTCAAAAAAAAAAGCAATAAACTCAAGACCGAGGGGCTTTTAGCATCTCATTTTGATTAGACTTTCAACATCTGTGGAGGAACTGGAAAAAAAAAAACCCATTTTAATGTGAAAAATCAGGTTTATTTAGTACAAAAGTGTTTGAGCATGACAGACAAGAGAGGGAGACACACACATGTAATGATGCTCCAATAATACCTGTAGGACACTATAAATATATCCATGCACATATTTAATGGATATATATTTATAATTGGTGCCATTTCATCAAGACAGTGTAATCGAATAAGCCTAAAGCGATTATAAAGATGAAAGAGAACAAATCTCATGACTGTCAAATATTTTAACAAGGCATTCATCTTTCTTTGTTAGCCTTAATCAAACACACATTTCAGGCACTTTCAAAGCAAACCCGCACCGTTTTAAACCCCACAGCAAAATATTTGTAAGACAGTCATCAAAATACACCTTTCTTTATTGTGAATACACTCCCTCTAGTGGAGAGAACGGTGTACTGTGACTTTAAAACAACAGTCAAATTAGTTATTTTTGACGTGACTCAAAAGAGAGCAATAAACTCAAGACCAAGGGGCTTTTAGCATCTTATTTTGATCAGACTTTCAACATCTGTAAAGGAACTGAAAAAAAAAACATCCCATTTTAATGCGAAAGATCAGGTTTATTTAGTACAAAAGTGTTTTAGCATGACAGGCATGAGAGGGAGACACACATGAAAAGATGCTCTAATAATACCTGTAGGACATAAATATATCCATGCACTTATTTGATGGAGATATATTTATACACTCCCTCTAGTGGAGAGAATGGTTTACTGCATCTTTAAAACAACAATCAAATTAGTGATTTTTGAAGTGACTAAAAAGAGAGCAATAAACTCAAGACTGAGGGGCTTTAAGCATATTATTTTGATCAGACTGTTGCCATTTGTGAAGAAACTGAAAAAAAAAACATCCCATTTTAATGCGAAAGATCAGGTTTATTTAGTACAAAAGTGTTTCAGCATGAAAGACATGATACCTGTAGGACACAATAAATATATCCATGCACTCATTTGATGGATATATATTTATAATTGGTGCCGTTTCATCAAGAGTATAGATGAATAAGCCTGGAGCGTCTCTAAAGATGAAAGAAAACTAATCTCAAGGCTGTAAAAGATGTTAACAAGGCATCTATCTATCAAAGCCACAAATCAAACTGCAAGTAAAACTGTGTGTGGCTTTCTTGATTAGTATTTTGTTGTTGTTTTCTTGTACAAACCTTTTAATGTCTTTTTAAACGTCATGTTTTCTGATTAATCTCAAAACAAGATCAAACATTTATCAGAAGAGTTAGAAATATTGATTTGTTTGCCTTTTTAATTTAGTGTTACGCCACTTTTATTTTTGCTAATCAAAGTTCTGATGAATTTTTAAGCTAGAAAACAAGACTTCAGTTTGCTTCTCAAGAAAACCTACACTGACTTGAGAATGTTTCTTGGTTTTTATTGGAAAACAGCGAAATACTGATGAGCAGAATTTTTGCTGTGTTTAGAGTCGTGTGTTAGCCTGATTCAAACACACACTTCAGGCACTTTTTAAACACCACAAGAAAATATTTGGGGAAAACCAATCCACACATGCATACAATTGAAACAGTGACCCATCAAAATGACAGCATCAAAGATATCAAAATTATTAGCAACAGTATTAATTTCATTTTTATAAGCATCTACCAGAATCACAGGATTCAATTAAATAATTCACCCAAAAATAAAACCTAGCATCATTAACTAAACGTATAAAGTTCATCATGGTGGTCTATTCCTTGTAAAAAAAAAAAAAATGTTGCATACAGAACACATAAAGGTATATTTCACCCAAAAATGAAAATGTACTCACTATTTACTCTCTCTCAAGTGGTTCAAAAACTTTGAGTTTCTTTCTTATGTGTTTGACTTCCATTTTTTGAAGAAAGCTGAAACCTGTAACCATTGACTTATGCAGTATTTATTTTTCCTACTAAGGAAGTCAATGGTTACAGGTTTATCTTCTTTTGTGTTCAACTCATAATGAGAATTGAGTAAATGAGGACAGAATTAAAATTTTTAGGTGAACTGTCCTTTTAACAGTGCCATCAAATGATGTCCAGTTGTATTTTTGGGTGAATTATTCTTTAACCGTATTAGACAGAGGCTGAACGCTACAGTGGAGAAACACTGACTCCTGTGCAGCTACTCTATTAGAGTGAACTATACTTGAAGCTCCGCCTTCTTCCTGACTGACTCCTCCTCCCCTTGCATCTTGGCTCCGCCCACTCACAGTTTGGCCTTCCCTGGCTGCAGCTGGAGGTTCTGAAGTTTCATTGCCATTCCCATGTTGCCAGTAATCTTCAGTTTACCCTGGAAAAATGCCTGCGTGGAAAAAACAGGACACAAAAGAGTGATTAAATATTAAATTTACAAGCTCTTGAGCTCCTGAGGTCCCTGTAGAGGTCATTTGTTTTTGCGAGAGGTAATATTCAGTGTCTTAACATTCTACAGCATTCAGGGCATTTAAGAGATTAGATTTGACCATGAAAAATGTATCTGCTTGTGCTGTTTACAATTCATATTCAAGCTGCTGATAGTAAAAAGCCTTGAAGAAGAATATCAATCATTTTTAATCTATTCTGTAGAGGACATCTGGAGTGGGCAAATATATATATATATATATATATATATATATATATATATATATATATATATATATATATATATATATATATATAACATTTGCATTATATATATATAAGTCAACACCACAGTTGAAGTCATAATTTTTAGCCCCCCCTGAATTATTAGCATTTGGTGATGCATACGTCTCCAAACCAGACAGATGGACAAATCTAAACTCGTTTTGATTAAACAAATATATTTATGCAACTAATAAATAAAACTGCTAATAATAATAACATTATACAAATGCTAATTGTCATGAATAAACTGGAAAATGATTAAATTAAATTAAATATACAAACACATTTCTTATGCTGCAGGTAATAAGACATTTTAAAATAAATAAAACAAATGTGTTGTTTATTATAATATTATTTATTTTATTATATTTAAATTTATTAATTGTAATATGTCATGCAATAACATTTAATTAAATTAAACATTTAAACATTTCTCATGCAGCGGGCTTTAAGACATTTCAAAATAATATTATAATAAATAACCAATTAATGAAATTTATTTTATTATCTTCAAAGTTATTAAACATTATGTACAATTAAATTAAATTAAACATACAAACACATTTATCATGCTGCAGCCATTAAGACATTAACAATTTATAATAAATAACCAATTTATTATATTTAATACCTATTTATTTTATTACATATACATTTATTAAATGCATTATGCAATGCAATTAAATTAATAATAAATAATAAATAAAATAATATAATAAATAACGCATTTATTTATTTATTTATTTTATATTTGAATTTATTAAATGTACTATGCCATGCAATAAAACAAACATAACAACAAACATGTTTCTCTGGCTGCAGGCATCAAGACATTTTTTTTTTAACAATATAATAAATTATTTTAAAATTTCTTAACGCCTGCTACATGAGAAATGTGTTTGTATATTTAATTTAATTTATTTTTATTTTATTTTATGGCATGGCATAATACATTTAAATATAATAAAATAAATAAAAATGTTATTTAATTATAACAAATAACAGATTTATTATATTATTTATTTATTTTATTATTTAAATTTATTAAGATTATTATGCCATGTCATAAAAAAATAAAATAAAAATGTAACTAAATATTAAATTAAATATTCAAACACATTTCTCATGCTGCAGGCAATACGACTTTAAAATAAAATAATTTTATAATGAATAACCAGAAAAATAAATAACTCGTATAGATAAGCTTTTCTGCTCTGTCCTCAAAAGACGAACCAATTCACAAAAGGCACAATGAAGCTCATCAATCAGATTAACCTTCAATTACGCAGAACAAGTTTTGAAAGTCAGGTGAATTATCTCATGATCTGCTCTCCGGTCATACAGAAACTCATTTGATGATCAGTTTATTGAAACTCCGAAGCAGAAGAAATGCAGTATCTGAGCGAGTGACTCATTAAAGTGTCTCTGTAAGTGCTGTTCAATCACATATACGCCAATAGGAAACACTAAAGCATCGACGAGTGGATGCACATAATGACCTTTTTTTATTCTGTTCACAAACCGAGGTTTCAGCGGCGAAGAGGCAATTACAGAGCATAAAAACAAATTAGGGCCAAGTAAATATAGATGCTTTATTCACTCTGATGGATGTTACTAGAAAGCGGAGAGCCGGAGGAAATACAAACGCTCTCTAATAACCAAAAGTCTCAGTTTGCACTCTTGGTTTTACCGGTTTATGTAAAAAAAATTAGGAAAATAACAAGTCAAAATTGTTCTTTAAAGAGATAGTTCACTCAAAAATAAACATTTAGAGTTGATTAACTCACTCTTGGGTCATTTAAGATGACTTTTTGTGCCTTCGGAGGTACATTAAAGATGATTATAAGCTAAATTTAAGGTGCTTGTTGATTTGTATAATGCAAGTCAATGGTTACCCGTTTTTGACATTAAAAGTAAACGCATATAAAAAAGTTCGAATCAATAGCCATGGGTCCTGATGTCACATAAACGTCACGAGGTCTCAAAAACGCTCTCTAATAAGCAAATGTCTAAATTTGCACAAAAAAATAAGGAAAATAACAAGTCAAAATCGTTCTATAAAGGAATAGTTCACTCAAAAATATACATTTAGAGTTGATTAACTCACTCTTGGGTCATTAAAGATGACGTTTTCTATCTTCTGGAGAACATTAAAGAAGATTTTAGCTAAATTCAGGGCTCTTGGTGATTAGTATAATGCAAGTCAATGGTTACCCATTTTTGCGATCGCAAATAAACACATAAACAAGTCTAAATCAATCCTTATGGCCTCTGTTGACACACTGAGGTCTCAAAATGTCTCTCTAATAAGCAAACGTTTTATTTGCACAAAGTTTTACCTGTTTACATCAAAAAAACAGTCAGCGAAAATAACAGTGACTGAATCAAAATCATTCTTTAAATGGGTAGTTCACTCAAAAATACACATTTAGACTTGATTAGCTCGCTCTCGGGTCATTTGAAATGACTTTTAGTGCTTTTGGAGGAACATTAAAGATGAGTTTTAGCTAAATTTAAGGTGCTTGTTGATTTGTATAAATGCAAGTCAATGGTTACCCGTTTTTGCGATAAAAATAAAAGCATATAAACAAGTCCAAATCAATAGACATGGGTCCTGATGTCACACTGAGGTCTCAAAAACGCTTTCTAATAACCAAATGTCTTAATTTGCACACTCGGTTTTATCTGTTTACATAAAAAATAAGGAAAATAACAAGTCAAAATCGTTCTATAGAAGGATGGTTCACTCAAAAATATACATTTAGAGTTGATTAACTCACTTATGCGTCATTAAAGATGACGTTTTCTGTCTTCAGGAGAACATTAAAGAAGATTTTAGCTAAATTCAGGGCTCTTGATGATTAGTATAATGCAAGTCAATGGTTACCCGTTTTTGCGATCGAAAATAAATGCATATTAATCACTCTAAATCAATCCTAATGGCCTCTGTTGACACACTGAGGTCTCAAAATGTCTCTCTAATAAGCAAACGTTTTATTTGCACAAAGTTTTACCTGTTTACATCAAAAAAACAGTCAGCGAAAATAACAGCGACTGAATCAAAATCATTCTTTAAATGGGTAGTTCACTCAAAAATACACATTTAGAGTTGATTAGCTCGCTCTCGGGTCATTTGAAATGACTTTTAGTGCCTTTGGAGTAACATTACAGATGAGTTTTAGCTAAATTCAGGGCTCTTGATGATTAGTGTAATGCAAGTCAATGGTTACCCGTTTTTGCGATCGAAAATAAATGCATATAAATCACTCTAAATCAATCCTAATGGCCTCTGTTGACACACTGAGGTCTCAAAATGTTTCTCTAATAACCAAATGTTTTATTTGCACACAGTTTTACCCGTTTACATAGAAAATACACACAGATACAAAAAAAAAAAAAAAAAAACAGTCAGCAAAAAAAAAAAAAAAAAAACAGCGACTGGATCAAAATCGTTCTATAAAGGGGTAGTTCACTCAAAAATACACATTTAGAGTTGATTAACTCACTCTTGGGTCATTAAAAATGACTTTTTCTGTCTTCAGGAGAACATTAAAAAAGATTTTAGCTAAATTCAGGGCTCTTGATGATTAGTATAATGCAAGTCATTGGTTACCCATTTTTGGATTAAAAAATAAACACTTATTAACAAGTCTGAATCAATATCCATGGCTTCTGTTGACACACTGACGTCTTTGCACACTCGATTTTGCCAGTTTGCATACAAAAAGCAAGTCATAACTGAAACAAAATCCCTTGCTGATTTGTATAATGCCAGTCAACGGTTATGCGTTTTTGAGATTAAAAATAAACACATAATATAAACTAGTCCAAATCAAAATCAATCATTAAAGGGATATTTCACTCAAAAATACACATTTAGAGTTGATTAACTCACTCTTGGGTCATTTAAGATGACTTTTTGTGCCTTCGGGAGAACATTGAAGATGATTTTTAGCTACATTCAAAGTGCTTCGTGATTTGTATAATGCAAGTCAATGGTTACCCATTTTTGGGATTAAACATAAATGCATATAAACAAGTCCAAATCAATATCCATGGTTTCTGTTGACACACTGAGGTCATAAAGTTTGTGGTCTCTCAGTTTGCACACACAGTTTTACTAGTTTGCATAAAAAAACAAGTCATGACTGAATCCAAATCATTACTTGATTCATAATAAAGTCAATGGTTACCCGTTTTTGAGATAAAAAAAAAACACAAACTAGTCCAAATCAATCCTCGTGGCTCCTCTTAACACTCTCAAAAACTCTCTAATAACCAAAAGTCTCAGTTTTCACATTCGGTTTTACCCACTTACATAGAAAAAAAAACATTTACAAAAAAGTTGTGACTGAATCAAAATCATTCTTTAAAAGGACAGTTCACCGAAAAATATACATTTAGAGTTGATTTACTCACGCTCGGGTCATTTAACATTGAACTTGACTTTTTGTTTCTTCAGGGGAACATTAAAGATGATTTTTAGCTAAATTTAAGGTGCTTGGTGATTTCTATAATGCAAGTCAATGGTTACCCGTTTTTGAGATTAAAAAAATAAATAAACTAGTCCAAATCAATCCTCATGGCTTCACTTAACACTGAGGTTGAACTTGACTTTTAGTTTCTTAAGGGGAACATTAAAGATGATTTTAGCTAAATTCAAGGTGCTTGTTGATT